AAAGCATTAACAAAGAGCACCATGGCCGACAAAGTATTTATTTTTTCCAAGGTCAGATCAATTGAAGTGTGGGTTTTGTCCTGGTAATCTATTCACTCGATTCTCATACGGCTGCAGGATTCTGCCTATAAAAGTGGAGCTGCTGTGGTTTCCATGTTTAGAACTGCTGTCCTGGTGGAGCAGGAGGATCACGGAGGCCTTCAACGCTCTCTTTTTCTACACATGGCTCGACCACAGACAGGTAGGTCCTGATTAATCCAATCACGTAGAACAAATCGGCTGTAAGAATTTGACACCTCTGTATGTTCCGTCTTTATGAATCATTTTGGACAGATATTAAGTATTAACAAGTTTCTAAAGAATGAACAGAACAAACGTAACTTCCTGACCAAAAAAAAAAAAAGAGCCGTGACATTTCCAAATCTGTTTTTACAGCTGTTGCTTCAGCCTTATACAAAAATCTCCTGTATTTAATGAGGCAACTTTCTGGTACGGAACAAAAGTGTAGTAAAATAGATTTTAGGATGAAGGTTAGACAACGATAAAAGCATCTTTTGTCATCATCTTTTAGAAAAAGATCGTGGGTTGGAAGTGTTGAACCATTTTATTAACAAGCATTAAGACAGAAGTTGTTATCTTTTCACCTCCAAATAATGTTTATCAACGGCACAAGCATTTAAATTTAAAGACTTAAAGAAAGACTTAAGTTGTTATACCATAGGTTTTTATGAATTTATACAATGTGATAAATTTGAGAGGCAACTAGTTGGACAAGCACAGTGACATTATGTTGGTTTGTTAGCAACAAAATTAAGAAATTAAGTGAGACTAAATATATATATGTATATATATATATATATACTGTATATATATTTATATGTATATATAAATATATATATAAATATATATATTTAGTCTAAATATATATATATATATATATATATATCATCCTAATAGAGCTCAATGCAAATGGCTGAGGGGCCACTCGTGTCTCACGAGCCACAGGTTGCAAACCTCCAGTCTAGACATTCAAATCAAGAGAACAAATTTACAAATAAATAATTTGGTTAGTGTGCAGTATACAGTATTCAGTATTCAGACTGTATACACGTAGCACAGTAGTATTGCAGGTATACATACTGTCACTGTCAACTGAGAACGCGGAGGAAAGGAGAAATGAATGTATAAAATACTTAAATGTGAACAAAACCAGCAGATGTCACTGATGTCAGACAGCTTCAAGTGAATACCAATGAAGATGAACTGCAGCAACTCTACCATATATAACGCAGACGACAAATGTGATTAGAAATAGAATCTTTTTTTCCTGGTCTCACACTTTTATCGTTGCAGATCAGTGCTCTAGAAAACTACAGGCTCAGTTTAACACAGTGACAGTTGGACAAAGGCTCAATAATAAAGATTTTTTTTCCCCTCTAATACATCAGTGCTTTTAACGCTGGTCCACTGCAGTGTTTTGTCAGTGTCAGTTTAACACGCTTTTGACTCGAACCTTTATAAATGATGGGAAAGTATTTTTGATTTTCTAGTAAAACTTTACAATCCGTGGCTTCATGTGTACTCAGCTCTGTGCAGGAGAGAAACCCCCCAAAATGCAGTTTGATTTTTGTACAGTGGGTGGCGCTTGTGCTGCATCTATGTCTTCCCCCCACATGCAGTGGCTGTTTTACGGCCACTGCAAAGCATCAGAGTGAGTCTGGACTCACAGCAGTGTCCCAACAGTCTGCAGCCTTGAATCACAGCCAAAAAACCCGTTTTTATCGCGGGTGCTTCGCCTCAGGTCCGTGGTCTAATCTGCGCTCCTCTACATAAGATAAACCTACATCACAGCCTGCCTTCAAAGTCTGTGCTGTTCTCTCAACTTCCGGTTCTATAACAGGAACTGGCTGCACCGATCAGATGGTTCTGATTTATGACTCTGTGTGTGTGTGTGTGTGTGTGGCACAGGGATAACAGACATTTCAACATCCTTCAATGAGTGCCCATTATTTTCCTGGTTATCATGTTGAAGTCCAATGCTGCGTGTCTCCATGTTCTAGTCGTAAAGTGGAATTAATAGGTGCTGATAATGGTGTTTCAAGTTATATTGCAGATCATTTAAATTGATCCAATGATCCATCGAATCAAATTAACGAACTGGGCCTGCTGCTCTGGACGGCAGCTCCGACCTGCCTCTGTATTACTTTCTATTGGTTTATCGACAGGGAGGACCAGCGTACGAACCTCTCCCACCACCGTTATCGCTCTCTCACTATGGACCCGACGTAAACCTCACATATCAGTGTTTGCACAGCAGCAGGTGCAGGGACAGGGATGCTGTCTTTTACTCTGCCTGTATAAAGAGCGAGTCGCTCCACGCCTGTCTGAAATGGCCCGGGAAGAAGGGCGGTGGTCGTCTGTGGGGATACATTTGATGAGCAACGCCTTGTGTTTGCATGACCCACTTCATTTCATCCAAGACAGGCTGCTGGGGGCTGCACCTCGGAGCTGGAGGGAGCAGCCAAGCCAGATTTAATAACGAGTCTTTGTTAAAAACCCAGGCTCCCACCAGGATAGGTCCATGCCAAACAATGGCCGGGGTCAGGGGTCCTCAGATGTCAGGATAAGAGGGCTAATGAGCCAGTATTGAGCTCGGAGCAGCAGGCTGGTGTGGTCCGCAGCCTCGGGCTCAGATGGTTCTGACACGGCCAAGGCCAATTTGTCTGTTTTGTTCCTGACAGTGAAACCTCCAGGCACGGGTTGCCAAGAGTTAACTGGAGAGCTGCAGAGCTGTTTAACACATGGACACTGGGACATGGAGTGTTTTCAGTCTCCAGGCCAGGAGGGCTTTACTGTCAGAGGGACGTTTGGAAACATCCAGCCACGGTCAAATTGACTGAAGTTGGAAGAGAAGAACCCTGAAGAGAGTGGGACTTGATGAAATCAATACTGGCCAAAAAAAAAAGGATTTAATTATGAATTAAAACCCGCAGGACTCCTGCCTCGGTTCATTATCATATCTGATAGCACGTCCTCTCCTGGATATTAGAAACTTTACACCCAGATTTCCCACCATCAGCAATAAAGTGGGACACTAACAGCAGGAGTGGAATGTGGCTCGGACTTGGAGTCCTGCTGGTTTTGTTTTGATAACTCAGAACTAAATGGACCCACAAAGTCCTGTGGGGATTGAATATTATTCTGAGCCATCGCTTGCACATCAATCCATGTTGGTCTGCAAAAAGTTTTTGTCTCATGGTAAAATACACCATGATAATCAGCTCTATAAAAGGAAGATACATTGAATCACACACCAGTGAAGTGAAAAAAAAAAAATAATAATTTGAAAAATGTTCCAGTGCAGATGTGATAACTAGGGTTTCTGTCTCTGGATGTTAATAATGAGGACGAGGCGGCAAATTTCACAGCTTCTGGAGAAAAGCTTGTTTTTCGTTCGTCTGCAGTCGAACGACTTGACAGCCTGAGTCTATATTGGAAGTGAAGCAGAGTTCAAGTATCTTGAGTGTCGGAGTAATTGTGTGTACATTAAAAAGCCAGAGTGAATGTGATGAAGGACAGAGTAAAAACGTGTTATCTTTTTTTATATATATATATATATTTATTATTATAATTATGCTGCTGTACGTTTTCTCCGACCTCTACATAATCCAGGGGAGTAAATAATCAGTAACCAGAGATTACACAGACTAACTTCATTAAAACACGCTTGTTAGAAAAGAAAACAACCAAAAAACTTCTTCGGCCTTGAGGTTCCCTCTGTGTTTACTCTCCCACAGTTAAACCAGCGCTGGGGTTATCTCTACATGAGGCTCCACTCTGACACCCACCCACCCCCCCACTCC